AAGTTGCCCCAGTAATGTCCTCTGTGCCGACAGTGGGATAAACTCCTGCGCAGTCGCTACAGGTGGACCGACATCCATAATCTTCCCGGCCCTGTATATTTTGTCGTTCTCATTTCTCTTTAAATAGGAAAGGTATTCATAACCATTCACCCATCGGAATATATTTGTTATTTTTGCCTCACACTTGAATAAACATTCATGAACAAGTTTCACGTTTTTTAAAAAACCCAAGAAAACAACAATAAAAAACATACACGTTTATGTTTTGTCTGAACCAAACAAACGCGTAGGCATTCACGCACGCACACACACACACACATACTTGTTCATGTCCATACGAGAACAGTTCAGAAGTTTTAAGGGAGCAAAATTGATATTTTCTCTTTCACCGTTTTGAGTGAAGAGTTGATAAGGCGCCGAGAAACGACCTGAAAACATTTCCGCAACATATGTATTATTTTCGGAACAGCCTGTTCACGTTCATTTGTGAGTTAAAGAAATCAGATATGCCACACCGATCGTTCAAAGAATTAAGAAACATCGCTGATTGGTTGATTAAAAAGTTGACCCGACGCGACCTCCCATTGCAGATTTGGCAGATTATCCCCTAAGATATCCAATACCAAAGTGAAAGATTGGACGGAAATGAAATCAACAGGTGCAGCCCGAATATAAATCTGAATCTGACAGTGTAATTCCCCTATTCGCAGGCATTCAAACAAACAAACTTTGTGTTGACAAATGTTGGTGTAACTGATATACTGTTAAAAAATGAAAAAGAGAAACTGACTCGTTCACTACCACCATCAAGGAGGCGGTGAGGTGGCCTAGTGGTTCAAGTGTTAACTCGTCTCACTAATCTCCTACAAGGGAAGCATGATAGGTGGGGAGACAAAGTATATGCGGTATTTAACCGTATATACTACAGGTTGTCAGACTTATGATTTTGCTGAAGAGTTGGTAATCTGTCTCACAGTCCCTGAACCACGTTATTTTCCCTACTGCCAAGCCCTTTCTGCAGTGCTAAAGCCCTAAATATAGCAAGTCTAGATTTCCTCAGGTTCTGAATCTCTGGTCTCCCTGGGGCTCCTTTTCAATTTAAATGGGCTTGTTTGTTACTATCAAAATGATATATATTCAGAGACTAAGCTGTATAAGTATTAGTCTAAAGAGTTGGTGGCTGGGTGGGTTAGATCGCCTACGTTGTGTACTGGCGATTTCGTGCCGAAGCCCGAATGGGACCCCACTCAAAGAAGAACGAGAATCTGGACTTTACCAAGAACGTGTAATCCCAGATATGATAATCGTTACCAAATCATGTGGAGCTCCTCAAACAAATACCCCCACCCTCACCCCCACCAATTACCGCAAAGCCATGCCAGAGCTTTTACTACTACAAACTGATGCTAATGTACAGGAACTGCGATGACCTCGCTAAGATCGTTCAGTGCAAGGGTCCCCTGGTCTAACGTTGGTAATAATTTTCGCGGGTCGCCCAGCGAACTTACACCCACACTTGGCATGCCAGTAGCGTATAGCTATGTGATGTAGGATACATGTTAGTGCCATATCTGTAGGATGTAGGACACAAACGTCGTCGTCGGAACGACACAGTTACTCCATTGATGTCGACAACTGCGGCCACTAGTGACACCGTGATAAATATGTCGAACGCCGCATACCTCAAAGGCACAGAATTAAACCCAAACAACACACGCCACATGTACGTGAACTTTGGATATCATTTGACCATCCGACCCAGACGCGCACCTGTTACAGTTTGGGCATGTTGGGCGTGATATCGGGTAAATATGACATTCGAAACCGCGTTATCGCGTCTGGTCCTTTGTCTAAGAAAGTGGAGAGCGACCGGCGCGTTACAGTAGAACCAGTTCATGTGTTATCAAGTCTGGGGACAACAGGGTGATCGGGTGTCTCATCACGAGATGTCGTGTAGTAGCTACAGCAATGCTCTGATGTGATCTTGATGAGGCATCTGTACAAGGACAATACAGACTGCGTAACGTTCGAAAGTGCTGACATGCTTCAGCTGGCTCCTCTGAACCCTGTAATCTTGGGTTCGAATCCTGGTTCGCCTTGCTTATATTCTGAGGTTTGTCACCATCATGTCGTATTCGTAGGTTTGACCAAAGTGGTACACATCTATGACATGCATCAACGCTTAAGCTCCAATTGTGACCCCTCCATTAAAAAGTGAGTGAGTTTATTTTTACGCTGCACTCAGCAATATTCCAGCTGTATGGCGGTGGTCTGTAAACAATTGAGTCTGAACTAGACAACCCAGTGATCAACAGCATGAGCATCGATCTACACAATTGGGATACGATGACATGTGCCAACCAAATCAGCGAGCCTGACCACCCGTTCCCGTTAGTCGCCTCTTACGACAAGCATGGGTTAGTGAAGATCAATTCTAACCCGGATCTTCACGGGTCTCCGTTAAAGATGTCAACTTGGATACATAATAATAACAACAATAACAATTTCTTCAGTTGCTTTTTCCAGTGATGGGTATAAAAGTAACAAACAACAGATTTTGTTGGATACATTTATTCAATACCGTGACATTTATAGACTCTTCCCGATATTGAGTTATTTTTGGTGACTGTACTCATTCGCATACTGCTCAATAAATGGCATCCGTGTCCGCCCAGTGCCGACGGTTTTAACCAGAGACGTTAAAATGGTACTCGTTGAAGAAAATGACGCGTAAAGGCTACTTGCTTTTACCATGCCTGGAGTTCGACATCAGGGGAGATAATCAAGGATTTCTCCACTGGGATCGTACAGCGTCAGTGGGGTATCCATGTTAAACTACAGCATAGTATATCAGTGGGCTACCACTGTAGGTTAGACAGCAGTCTGGTCAAGTACAAACAGTGTTCCATCGCAATACTCCTAAATACACAGTCACGGTATTTTCTCGTCAAATTACATCTGATTTCTCTTATGGATAGCTGGGACAAGAATATATATGTTCATGAATGTCAGCGATGATTAAAACTGAGTTTTGTCAGGTCATGAAATGCGAGAGATGACATTTTACAACACAAACATTTTGTAGATTATGCATTGTGTAACTGATCTCCCCTGTCTCGTTCTAAATTCAACTGAGAACTACACTTTTTGTATCACTTCACATTGGTGAAACATTAGTTTTCAATTATATGTTGTCATCACATCATAAATATCCTAATTAAGAGGGAAAAATGATGGCATGGCTGGTCTGACCGATTTGCGTCCATTGATGGTGCCAAGATCCGCTGTAAATTGGTATAGTGCCCATGCACGTTGTATTTCTTCACTTTTATACGTCTACGAGTAACTCCAGGCTTTCCTCCCATATCTAGCAGACACTGGAATAATGCACGTTCAAGCGGAATTACACCCCTATCACTCACTTGTATGATATGAGATAACATCATATTTGTGTTAGGGCCAACGTCGATGATGTTGCAACATCTGCTGTTGACACATAACGCTGTACAACATGGCGGATGTACTTACATTACAATATGTCAGCGGGCAAATATAAGTTGTTTTCCTTGATGAATTGTGCGTTTGCATTAAGACTGAGCAGAGCTCAATTTTCAGCCAGGTCACCCAAAATAGCGGACAGGGTTTCTCCAGTAACGCACCCTTGGTGACTTCGGACCTGTTTTCTGTACTTCTCTTGAACTGCATAATTTTAACAGATTTGGTCAATCATTACAAAATCGGGATGCTAGATTTTTCTCACATCACTTATACAAATCGAGGGACGGTGGGGTCTCAGTGGTAAAAGCGTTCGCTCGTCATGCCAGAGACCCGGTTCGATTCCCCACATGGGTACAATGTGTGAAGACGATTTCTGGTGTCCCCGCCGTAATATAGCTGGAATATTGCTTAAAGCGCCGTCTTACTCCGTTGATTTTATGCGCAAAACCAAGTATGTGTACAGCTCGATACTGGATCCAATAAAAGAAGGTTCTACATAATCTGAGTACGTTTACTTACTTAACCCGAGGATGAACTAATTACAGACCCAGGAACACTTTGAACAGGTCGATATTGAAAAGAACTGCTCGCCTGCTTCATGTTCTGCGAACGAGCCAAAGAAAACGTGTACCGAGACAATTGTAACCCGCAAGAGAATTTGATGAGCGTGAGTTAATAGAGTGATGCCGTTTTCGACCGAGGTCAGCTTGGTGTATTTTAGTCGTCTACTATAGTTTGGTTGTGCAAGGACTATGTCGTGGCATGGCGCCATTAAAGAACCGATGTTCAATTAACGATGTGCATGATCTCACTGAACTTGGGCGGTGGGGTAGCCAGGAGGTTAAAGCATTCGCTCGGCACACCAAAGACCCGGGTTCGATTCCCAACATGGGTACAATATGTGAAGCCTATTTCTGGCGTCCCATGCCGTGATATTGCTGGAATATTGCTAAAAGCAACGTAAATCTAACTCACTCTCCAGATTTGCGCCTAACAGCTGAACACGGATCTGCTGATCGTGGGTGAGAAATTAATATTCGAAAGGATTATGTTTCTTTGTCCTTCCACTATTACCTCCTAGGTGGGTTTCACATAAGAACGTCACTCGCTCACTTACAGTAAACTTATGGGAACCGTAGACAGTGGCGACATCTGTTGGTTTGTTTCAGCGACGGGTCTCGATCAGACCATCCTGATCAGTGTCATGTGCAAGGAAAGATAACTACGAATATTGTTATCAAAGTCAATCCACATATTACATAGATGGCCCGCTTGTCTACGGTCCGAGGTCCGCTCTGGAGAGTTAAATCCCTTTGCATTACCCGAGTTTGTGGGTTCGAATCCCAGATGCTGATTATGTTTGTACGTTTGTCAACAGATAGCGCAAACACTACGGATATATGCTTATATTGGGTAGACCACAATAAATGTTTTGGAGGGTAGCAGTATATTTTATTATAAACGACAATATAGTATTCTCAAGTAATGTATTCGTCCACCAGGGCCATCTCTGCGAGCTGTTGCCACCATGTCCACAATGACGGATCACATTGACGTCAAGGAATGCAACAGACGTGACATCCGGGTTCTTGTCAGTCCCAACCAATCAACGGTGGGCTTAGCTGACCTCACTCTAGCACTAATCCTTTTGGCTTGGAAGACATCCAATGAAGGTAAGACAAGAACGTAATCTTATCTCAGTGTTCTCTGATTTCCTGGGAACATTCATTTTTATGCCAGAGCAGTCATGGTGGCCCAGTAGTCGCCATACAGTTGCAGCCATTAGAAACCTATTATCACGGGTTCGAACCCAACATTCGTTGTCTTGATTAGGTACTACTAGGGTACTTTTCAAGACGGTCTCAGATGCCGAAAACTTTTGGACGCATGTCTTCAGCAAATGTCGGTAATTTTTTTAAATTATTTATACTTAATAAAAAGTGAATACGAAGGTACCAAGCATTAACGGGGCGGTGGGGTAGCCTAGTGGTTAAAGCGTCCGCTCGTCACGCCAAAGACCCGGGTTGGAATCCCTACATGGGTACAATGTGTGAAGCCCATTTCTGGTGTCCCCCGCCGTGATATTGCTAGAATGTTGCTAAAAGCGGCGTAAAGCCAAACTCACTCACTCACTCACCAAGCATTAACTTCGAAACAACCGTAAGTTCGACACAACTGTATGTTCGACACAACGGTGGTCGACTATACTATGGGATGCAATGGTGCCTGGTCAACCGTCAAATGCTCATTATCATGGAGCAAAGAGCAGCCCAGCGAGTCGAAAAATTCAGGGGCGATTGGTAGCCAAGTGGTTAAAGCGTTTGCTTGCTATTATTCGTGTCTGTCTTTACCCGTTGTGTTTGTTGAAAGGGGTGGGTGAACCATTGGGCTTGCTATGTGCAGTGTAAGCGTTACTCAGCAGAACGTGAGTCGCTTTCACACGGGCAACTAAAGGTTTAAAGTTTGTAAATTCTGTTTGTAAATATAATTGTCTTTATACAGCACCGTCGCATTTCGTCTAGTCATTTAAGGCCCAACGAAAAGACATGAAGCAGAATTACTATAATTGCTACGGCGTGTTATTTGAAAAACCTAAAGCTTTTGTGTGTTTGTGTTCAGTTTAAGCGTGTGTATTTGAGGGAATATAGGGGTAATCTCTTGTGTTGGCTTTTAACACACTCACGCACTCTCTTACATCCTTCGTCGACAGGTTTTAGAATTTGTGCGTTTATCATGAATATGCAACTATGTTAAGTCACGATATGGCTGCAATACTGCCGCTGTGACTATAAAATCTAACTCACTCACCCACCCACGCGCGCGCACAGGTGCGTGGGTTTATTAACTTATGTCTTTTATAACAACCAGGGTTTGAAATAACCGCAGCCCATCAGCCAAGTTATTGTTTTTTATGTTAAGGTGGTAATGGCGTGTGCAAGCGTGCGTGCGTAATATTTTTGTTACCAATATGTCCTTAAAATGGATATTTTGTGTTTTTCAGCCCCCTACTTAGACAACTGCAATTTGCAAAACGGCACGGTCAGCACCGTGTGCCTCAAGAACCTTCGCAACAAGACATTTGGCATCTATGGCCTGACCATCCTCGGTCACAGCGTGGCCAAGCGCCTGAAGGACCTGGGCGTGACCAACATCATAGCAGCGGATTATCTCTACAGCAAGCTCACATGTTCCTCTGATATTGAGATCGTTTCCTGGAAGGAGCTGATCACCCGGTCAGACATTATGTGTATATGTGTTCAACACGACAACAACCCGCCAGAGGTTTTCTCGAAGGAAACGTTTCAGCAAATGAAGAACACGGCCGTCATTGTGGATTGCCAGAACGGCAACGCCATGAGTTACGCTGATCTGTACGAAGCCCTCCGCGGAGGGGATATAGCTGCTGCTGGCATAAATGACTGCAACCAGGAACCTGTCCCCTTCAGGTACCCCCTAGCAGGGCTTCAGAACTGTGTTTTCCTGCCTCAGACCGACGAGAGGTTGTACGACTTGAGGCACAAGTTATCCATGACAGTAGCGACCAGTCTGACAAATGCTCTGCACGCACAGGACCAGAGCAAGGAAGTGTGTTAAAATTTGGGGTTTTTCATGGACCAGATCTGTGATGCTGAGCTTAGAACACCTGCTAGCTTCTATTTCCCTGACTGGCGATGTTATTGATGGAAAATCTTCTCACAGAACAAGTCATTCGTGACCAATCGCTTCATTCCGGAACAAGCCGAATGGCGAATCGTGTTCTTACATGATAACTGAACTTAACTTGGGCGAATGTTGGTTCCGGAAAGAGACGAGTGGTGACGAATTGCCAATTCATGAAGTTAAGCATAGTTGTTGGAGGCCAGGATTGCTGTGCCATTGCCATTTCTCAGTTCCTAATGTTTATGTTATTCAAGGTTACGCTTTTGTGAAATGTTCTTTGATGTTGAATTTATATAGTAGTGTATAGTAATGTCAGAAAATATTTCTGACAGTGTAAATAATATTGTATGATGGAACAACATGACCACAATCAATTAAATGTTGAGTAGTTTTTGTTAGGTAGTGGTAAATGGTAGAAGGCCTATCGAGAACACTTGTTCGTATAGCACTACCATGGCCTACAGACATAAAACTTTTGATAAGGGTACTAAGGGACCGTTAATAATTTATGGCTAGGGGGTGATGATGATTGTGGGTTCATCAATTTTGTACATAAAAATATGTTCAAAATTAAGCTTAGAAATTATGGGTAGGTGAGGGGGGTAATTGATTTTGTACATTACATGCAGGGGGTCACTTATTTTGTGCATAAACTTTAGGGGGGTCATTCACATTATACAAGCTTCTCCATAAAAATCATCATCAACCCAACCCCCATCCCCCAGCCATAAATTATGAACGGTCCCTAATGTCAGAAAATATTTCTGATCAAGTGTAAACGATAGTGTGTCATGGAATGACATGAATATAATCAATAAAATGTTTAGCTGATTGTGTTAGGTAGTGAACACGTGTATCGCACAACCATGACCTGCACTTGCGTGTGAAGGTCAAACCTTTGCCACGTCAAACGTTACTAATGTGGGCTACTTAGTATGCTTCTCACTGGCCAAATATCGTTGTTGTGCATAGTGCTTGTAAATTGTTCAGGGAATACAGTGTTGTAAACAACTCTTCCTGAAAATATCAGGGGGATTTAAGACAATACTGACCCCGCATTAAGCAAGAGGTTTTATTTAAACTTGGTGTACGAATCCATCGAAATGTGAAAATGTTTTTTAGAAGCACTGTTTATTCCAATGATTCACAATATACTGTAACTATAGACGTGAAAGTTTTATTTTATAATGCTATACTTTAAAAAAAAACTAATTGAAAATTATCTTAAAGACATACATTAAAAAATGAAATGTTTTGTTATTACCTTTCCGACCTGGCAACTTAAGCCTAGGACAGGAAGTTAACCCCGCCCTGAAGAAGACATTATGTTGTAAATATACTGCCCCGCACTTCGAGTGTCATGAAAGTCGTTTTATCCCTACGCAATGGTTGGTATTCCAGCTTTATGCAATGTTACCTCAACCTGGGAGTCTCTGACTTAGTATTGTCTCCCTGTCTCAAATGTTACCGCAATGTTACCCCCATCGAGTTCCATGCTTTCTTGATGGAAATGTACTGAGGGAAACAAATTAAGGGAACACCGCTTTATCAGTGTTCCTTTATTTATTTTCAGATTGTCACCCACAGTGCTAGACAAAGCTTGTGAAGAAACCTGGAAAAGAATATAGGGATACTCGTCCTTACATGTGTTCCCTTATTTGTTTCCCTCAGTATATTATCTTCAGGTGCGAGTTAATCAAATATTTGGTCTGCCGGTTTAGTCACACAGTGCAATAGGTAAAGACAAGCTATACTCGACATATATCTGTATACCGCTGTCGGCGTCACATCTGGCCTGGCGCGTATTGTAAAAAGGTATGACGGTCGATTTTGCGAACAGCTTTTGATTCGGAATTGCATGACAAAAAATAATTGACACATTTTAAGATGGAGTCCTCTCGGTTGGCTGAAATAATGTATTAAGTCAAGGTGAGTCAAATGTGTGCTAACAGAGGGTCTTGGGGTTTTGTAGATAGTTTTATACGTCACTTTTATCGAATAGTCAGCATTAAACTCCTCTAGTTGAGTTGGAGAAGGACTCATAATGTGAGCACGGTAAGGGAGGTAATTACGACAGATGTGTATTGGGTGGTCAGACTGTTTCGAACCTCTGGTTTGTTTGGTTCAGAATCGTTCATTACCAGACCGCCATCATGTACTTGGAATATTGCTCAGTGTGTCTATGCACAAAGTGAAATGCGTTTTAGTGTTTGTTTATCAAGACTCGGAAACCAATTCGCTTAAAAATATTTTTTCAATCATTGTAAAGGTGAAACTGGAAGAGTTGTAGGGTGTATGATATAGGATTTGCACAGGGGTTAGAACGCCTTATTTATAAGGGACATAACTCCATACACACAAGGGACGTAACTCCGTACTTTCGATTCGGGTCTCTCTGAATATTCGTAGTGATTTAGAACAGTAGCGGAACAATTCAGTGGTTTGACCTAACAGTGAGCAATACTAATCACGATGCACGTAGTTGCACAATTTGTGACTGTCAGGAAACCGACAAAAGATTTATATATTGGTATATTTTGTAACAATATTAACCATTTGATGATAGAGAAATAGCGATTAAGGAAGCTTGTCTGTCGTTTGGCTTTTCTACCTTTTATACGTTTCTACGCAAACGCACGCTCTGTTCTGGAGACACGATTCAGGTAAAGGACAAAATACGTCGTTGTTCTGTTTTTAGTCAAGAAGGGTGACGGGAATTCAGTTTCCAAAGAATTCCACTGCAGAAATGTCATTTGATAAAGCATTGAGATACGAAGGGATATCTGTGGCACTAAACATCGTTTTTGTGAAAAATATTATTTGGAGTAAATAATACCAGAGGCGGATCGTGGTTTTGTGCTGTTGTTTGCTACAAAACACGGAAAAGGGAATTCTCTGTTGAATATTGACTGTTTTATGTATGTCGATGCTGCAGTGGGCATTCCAGTTTGAATCAAGAATACATTATGATTTTCAGATCCGGCATTTCAGGATGCTCCATGGTGGTATCGTTGATCTCGTGGGACCTCTCGAGGGCGAGATGTTATAACGTAGCGCATGTTTGACGTGCTTACATTTCAGATTGTTATGGGTTTTGTAAAAAGTGAGCAATGAAGGGCATGATTTGTTCATATAACTCAAATAGGCTTCCTTTTTATGCCTATGTATTTTAATGCAAATAAAAAACACACAAATTGCGAATATCTTTGGGTTGTTGTTTTTCAGCAACGTGTACGTATTCTCAGTCAGTTATTTGGGGCGATGGGATGCTTAGTGGTTAAAGCATTCGCTCGTCACGCCGAAGATCCGGGTTCGATTCCACATATGGGTAGAATGTGTGAAGCCCATTTCTGGTGTTCCGCGCCGTGATATTGCTGGAATATTGCTGAAAGCGGCGTAAAACCCAACTCGCTCAACTCAGTCAGTTACTGTTCGAATGTCGATCACCCGTGAAGATCCAGGTTAGAATTTGTCTTCAGTAACCCATGCTTGTCGTAAGAGGCGGCTAACGGGATCGGGTGGTCAGGCTCGCTGACTTGGTTGACACATGTCATCGTATCCCAGTTGCGAAAATCTATGCTTAGGAAGTTGATCACTGGATTTTCTGGTCCAGACTCGGTTGTTTACAGATCACTTTCATATTGCTGGAATATTGCTGAGTGCGGCGTCAAACAACAAACAAACCGAACGTTTTTGAAAGGCATTTAGAAGTTGGACAAACAAGAATACATGACACTTTTATGGATAACAACTTCTTTTTATTCTTTACACGACGTTTCTGAGCTAATTCTTGCTCCTTCATCAGGTGAATACTGAGTCAGTACAAAGAGTCGATATATATAGATGAAACATGTTTACACAATGCAAGGAGGGATAATGTACAAAGATAACAATATAATTACGTAGCCAACAATATAATTATTTTTCTGACAGATACATATCTACTGAAATTACTTTGGTAGCGTATCTCGCGTGTTATTGTTATGGGTGTGAACCATCCTGTAATAAACGTGGGGCGGTGGGGTAGCCTAGTGGTTACAGCGTTCGTTCGTCATGCCGAAGACCCGGGTTCGATTCCCTCACATTAGTACAATGTGTGAAGCTCATTCTGGTGTTCCCCTTCATAATATTTTTGGAATATTGCTTAAAGCGGCGTAAAACTAAACTCACTCACTCTTTGTTATAGAGTATATATATCATCAGCTTTTTGTTCTTGAGTGTTGTGACGGTGGTCAACTCGTTGGACCAAGGCGATATGTTCGATTCCCCACACATGTATAATGTTCCCATGTCGTGCTATAACTGGACTGTGCCTACAGCAGCGTAAAACTAATTGTACCCGACATCTATTTACTGTTAAGTAATGTCGAAAAAAGTCGCCTGCCTGAGGCGACATTATAGATAAGCCGTGCCTCTGTGTCGGGCCGGGCGGTAGCCTTGGTAACTCTCAGGAGTCAAGCTGCCTAAAACGGCGACCCATCAACCTTCTCTAGATATACCAAGTTAATAGTTCCTATGAATATGTTGGCTCACTTTCATACGGTAAAGCGCCTGGGGATGTTTGGATTAAAATAGTTAATGAGCCGGATGAAGCAACCATTATTGTCACTATCGCCCATCTGTATCTTTAAATAAAGCATAAAGTCGTGATATAACTGGACTGTGCCTACAGCAGCGTAAAACTATCTGTACCAGACATCTATTTACTGTTAAGTGATGTCGAAAAAAGTCGCCTGCCTAAGGCGACATTTTAGATGAGCCGTGCCTATTTGAGGGTCAATATAGGTAATGATCATTACCAGGCTATTCGAAACTACATAGCTTGTGAAGTTCTGATACGATTTTCCAAATGCCACGTGACTCCTATCCTATCTGGGAAGTCAAAGAGGATGTCTACAATCACCAGAGACTTAAAATTAAAGCCATCTGAAATAGAGAGAAACGATGTAAGCGAACATTTAATTTCAAAATATGAAATTGACACCATGACTTACCGTTTAGTTATTACTCATGTTTCGGAGTTTACAAAGTAATGTCACTCTGTATTTGATAAGACAAACTTACAATAGAAACATTAACATAACATCAATAACAACCACAAGGGACATTCCATCCTAGTAACGGATATTTCTGTCGCCTCGATTGGATTAAAATTGAGCTGGAGTCTATTATTTCCAGAATCTTCGCTGCTAGTCCCATGTTAAATAATTACGTTAAAAGACTGAATAACAATAAGTAGATTTAAGAATAGTTTATTCTTCTGCCTTTAAACAATTAAATTTTATGAAGACAATGCCGATTTTTAGTTTGCAAAAATTAGCTCCCAAACATGCTTATTAAATCTTTAAATGATAGTTTTCAGTTTTCAATATCTTGAAATCTGTCCAGTTTAAGTCTATCTGAGGACAAGAAAGTGTTTCTGAAGACATGACGTTGC